CCATCCAATGTACGAAAAAACAGCCGATAAAGCCGTCGCGATAAAACTAAGGCCCGCGCTAGTTTGTAGTGCCGTGCAAACAAGCATGACCTCAAATGCTGTGGGAATAACTAAGAATAGCAGAGCATAGGCAAGGGACCAGAATGCACGGCTTCCGCGATCGAGGTCCTTGCTTATAACTCCCGTCTCACGGCTTAAGTGAAAGTTCAAATCCAGAGAATGCAGTTTTCGGAACATCTCCATGGCAATTGTAGTAGATGCATGGCTGCCAACAGGAGCAAAAAGTGCGGATTTGAGTTCCTCTGTGAGTGAGCCTGTCAGCCGAGTGATGCCGTACGCGGCGACCATCCCAAAGACGCCAAGCTGCAATGGGCCAAGAACGACCACAGCATTGGCAACGTTGTGGTCGGGCGCGAGGGCGTCAACGACCATCTTAAACCAAAAAGGTACCGCCACCTTCAGAACCTTTGCCGTGACAACGCAAATCACACTGGTGACAACCAGCACACGATACATTGGCTGCCCGGGCGGCCACAAGTGCCGCATGACATGACTCACCACTCGGTATACAGGAATCTTGCTTAAGGCCTCCGCTGACACAATGGAGCCCTCTGTCGCCTGAATTTTCTCCTTCACCGCAGTTTTCTGGCGCCTCGGTTGCTGTTGTTTTTGTATCTTGCGCTTTTCTTCTTCGGTTTTCCCTTGTGGGCATTCCGTCCTGAACGTATTTGTCCCCTCCGCCGCAGGAACTCCCTTTGACGGCTCCAGCCGAAGACGAGTCGCCTGGTGAAACAAGCGTCGGCAATTCCACAAGGATGGCGACAGTGCGGAAATGGATCTCAAGTGGTATTCACTGAGCGCAGTCGAGGCAATCAACACCTGGCGTTTCCACAAAACTCTACTGCCCCATCGCCATTGCGTTGGACCTCCCATGAAGGATGCAACGCGCCGCATCAGCAGCGACACACGAGAAAAATATATATGTACTGAAACAACCCCTAAACCCTGGCAATTCAACAACAATCAGAAAGGATAAAAAGGCCGGTAAATAAAAAAAAAACGGGCGGAGTGTCTGCTGCGATAAGAGAGAAATAGAAACCTACAAAAGGTAAAGACCTCCACAAAAAAGGAGGAAAACAAGAAAGCAACAAGACAAAAAAAACGTAGTGAGCCCGCATGCACACACGCACACAAACAAACAAACGCTTTCACTCCCTCCCTGGCAACCCCACAGGCCAGCCGCACAAAAAAAAAAAAAATAAACCGGACAGAAATAGTCATACACACTCTCACCCGCTAAGACTCGGGTGACTTAACTGTTTAAACGCAGACTCCCTTGGGGCGAGGCGTCGACGTGGGATACGGAAGAGCGCGGGGACTGACGGCATCCCCTCAAGCGTTTCCCCGAAAGCCAGACGCTGGCAACAGGCCTCCAAAAAATCCAATTCGTAGCGTGTGAGGGTGGCTGTGGTGTACCAGATGCCAGCGTCCTTGCGCGGAAAAGCGACATCTTCCTCATCCGCAAATATGGCGCGGAAGAATCCGGCGCGAATTAAATGCGGTGCCAAAGCATCGGCACCGCGAAGAATCAACGTGCCATCGCGCGTCAACTCCAGTGAGAGTGACGAGCCGGGAAAACTCCGAACGAGCGTCCAGTCCTCCCTCCCCAGACCACATTCAGTGCAGCACTCCACCTCGCCCCCCTCGCTCTTCAGCAACGTCCTGGTGCAACGAGGGCAGTGTGCCACCCACAACCGAGCCTGGCTGGGCAAAACCCGAGTGGTCCCCACCGACTCCACGTAATGAACCGCAAGAACATCTTCGTCTTGCGTCAAACCACTGGAAGCACTGGGGAATCCCTGCGAAGGCGGATCAGGGGCGTCCTCTGAATGCCGCTCCCGTTTAACATGAGCGATCCTAATTTCCGATATCCATTGGGTTGGGGACGCGGAGCCGTTGGAAGAATTCAATAAAAAATTGTCATCGCCTTCCTCCTTTTGAGCCTGCGTCGATTCTATGATTTCTGTCACCTGTTGCTTCTTTTGCTGGCGTGAGGCATCACCACTTCGATAGCTTCCGTCGGGATCCAAAATAAGCATTTGTGTCCCTGGAGGCATCTGTGACAAAACGTGCAATTGCCAGCAGTCCATCTCCAGCGTGGAGGCCGCCACACGCTTCTCACACACAGGACACGGCGCCCTTGGGTCTCGCATGGAACGGCACTTCTCTAACAGCGAAATCCACGACTCCAAATCGCAGCACTGAAGATGCTGGCACTCGCTGCTTCGTACCGGATACCGCAATGCCATACGAGAATAAGGGCAAAGAAGTGAAATTTCTATCGTCGATACCTCCACCTCATCCCCGCCTGGGTGACCAAACGCCATTTCCCACGCCCGGTGACGATGAGCCTGGCGCAACTTACTGTTCGCACTTTTATTGCCTTTCACCTCGTCAAGAATACGTTGCCGCAAATCCAGCAATGTCTGAGAGACCAACGCGCTGGATTTCGACGCCTTTGCGCCTTCCACGCGAGCTACCTGTGCATGTCCCCTCCCAAAAGAAGAGCTAAAAAACCCGGCCCAGGGACCAGATGCCCTCTGGGTTCCCCGCGTCGCCGAGTGTGCAGGCATCTACAGGATCCCCCCTCTCTATGTAATGTGTGTATGTATGTATGTGCGCACGTATGTGAACACTTTCCTCCAGTCTCTTTTTTCCTTTCTGTTTGTTTGCTTGTTTGTTTTATGTCCTTGGCAAACTTGTGTGGTTTCTTTCTTTTCCGTCGCCTTCTCTATAGGCTTCCTCGCTTTCCCTGTTCGTCACGTTTTCTGTTCCGCTCCCTCTAGCCTCCCCAGGCCGCCGCAGCTGCCCAATGCAAGGCAGCCAGCAGCCACACACACTAAGAGAAAAGGAGAGAAAATTCCTTCTAAGACTCAACCCTCAAAAATAAATAAATAAATAAATGGAAAAGAAAAGAATTTGTTTTTGCCCTTTTTTATTATTGTTTTTTTCTTTTGGGAGAGGGAGAGGGAGGAGTCACGCAAAGCGTCATATTTGATGCTTCCATTCCACATGTACCGTTGGGAAAAAAGGCGGTCGTCAATGCAGTGAAGTACACCCACCCGGTGCTCTTCGACCAGATGCAGACAGAGAGAAAAAAATAGTTGAGAGTCGAAAGGAATATAAAAAAAAGAATAAAAAAAAACAGCTCGAACGTCTCTTGTTGTTGCTGCCGCTTTCATTTTTCATTTATTCTGGTCACGGTTCTGTGCCGATAATCCCCCCTTTCTCTCTGTCCTTCTTTCAGCTGCTCTTCTTTCCTCGTCCCCTGATTGCCCAGTCCGCAGGGGCTCCTTCGCCATCCTCCCCACCCCCTTGCGCAGCGATCAGTCATCACGGAGGATGTACGCCCACCTGCCTCGCTGCACACCGTAGACAAGAAGCGAGAGGCACCAAATATAGTAAACACCCACCAGCGGAGTGGATGCCATTAAAGCCTTTGTGCGAAGGCCATGAAGAATAAATTGCGTGAAGGCACAAGTCGCGGCAATAGACACGTACGCGTTGGAAAGGGTAGGATCAAATGGGTAGGCGTAGACAGCCACGGCGGCCACAGTGGTGTTAAACGCCCCAGTAAAGAGCATCATGCGGCGCCGCGTCAAATACCACGCAGAAACGGACCCCACCGCATTAACTACGGAAAAAAAAGAGGCCTGATAAACGAACGGAATAAAATGCATCTTTTACTCTCTTCCTCATCAAGGGGCTGCCGGTCAAAGGGAGCCAAAAGTAGCTCGCGTCCCTCAGAGCCAAAATTTCTCTCTAATGACTGAGAAACCTACGCAAAGAAAAAAAAAAAAAGGAAGCAACACAAAAACAACATATGGAATTAACGTTAATAAATAATGCATGAATGAAAGGTGCCTGCCCGGCCCTGACTTTTCTTTTTTTTCCACCTCTCTCTCTCCTCCACCCCCCTCCTGAACCCGGGAGGCCAGAAAGAAAAAAAAAAGTTCAGCCTCACTCATATCATCATCCCTGTGTCACGCGTCCTTAGAAATGCGCACATGCAAAAGTACACACTCACGTAAAGCAGAGAAAAAGCAAAAACAACATTTCTACCTCACTCAGGAAATGCCTCCCCGAAGAGACCCAGAAAGGCAGAGAGCGAAAGTCGCTGCCGCCACGATGGCGCCGTCAGAGCACAAGAAGGCGAGCCTTCCCCCCGCGAAACTCCGTCTGAATCTCGGCCCTTTTCTGCCTCAGAAAAAGAAGAATAGGCCTCCAAAAACAACGGAGATTGACTGGGGCTCGGAACAAACACCTCGTCTCCAGTGTTCGTGGCACCCCCAGAGACGGAACGGCATCGTTTCCTTCCCGGTGATGATGAGCTATCCGGTGTCTTGCCACTGCGCCGCGTGGGGCTGCCACATAACTCGCGCGTACCCGACGATGACCCGCCAGGGAGCACACCGTTTGGCGTCTCCAAAAGTGGGGCGACCGCGTCGTAGCACGCGGAAGCCTGACCAAAAATGAGATTAGGCCTCCGTGCTTGTGTCAGAAGAACGTTATAAGCAAGCAGTGCAATGCGTGCAAGAAACGGTTCCGCCCCGTCACGCCACTTTGTCTCCAAAATGAGACGCGAGGCAAAGCGGAAATAGGGAGACAACGATATTATTTCCTCACGACGCAGATTTCGTGCCAGAACGGGTGCATCACGCCGTGAATTGGATGATTTCCTCCTTACCCCTTTTGACCACGAGTATCTGTTGCCAGCCCTGTTGCATGTGAGTACCGGCACGTCGAATGCCTGGGGCACCAGACACTCTGTTAGACATGTGAACCATCGTCCCACACACTCTCCATTCGCCTCGGCATGTTGCTTAAGACACAACAACTCTACAAGAAGAGGCAATAAAGGAGCCGTACTGTCCCTCTGCCCATTTGTACGTTCTCGGGCATATTCGCTAAGAGCAGAATCCACTGTCTCCACCACGACACCATACAGAACAGCACTATAACTGGCAATTTGTCGAACGCACTCCATCACCTGTTCCTGAAGAGGACGCAGGAAAGAAAACGGCGTATCACTCCCAGCCATGATAGAAGAGAGATTTAGTAACGAGGTGCATATCTCCCGAACATCCTCAATTTGAGAGGCCCACGCTGTCGCACGCACCACCCCCTTCATAGTCGTTGCGGGGGCCGCCTCCTGGGCCAAGTTGGGGGCTGTCAAATTCTGAAGAATCTCAAGGCAGGAACCAAGACGGCGTAAAGGTGAGTCTTGCATACCCGTCAACATCTTTTCCTCACGTCGGACTCGTCTGGCTTTCGGTTGAAAAAAAGAAAAAAAGCCACCAGATCTCTTTGAGGGAGAGCATGATGCCGCGCGCGGCGATTGGCCATCGCTCTCACCCGTCAAAAGACGTTTAAAGTTATTTACAGTACTCTCCAACTCGTCCCGAATTGTCTGCAATAATCCCTCCCCCGTCATGCGATCCAGTACACGGGCTCGCAGCTTCGGTTCCGCAAAAATGGACATGCTAACGATGGCTGCCAAACTAATTAAAGGCAACCCCCTCGTCATGCTACCAAATCCCGTTCGGCTGGACATCATCTCCGTCATCAGGCGTCGCTTTTTCTCGTGAAGTACCAAAGCAATACCATCATACTTGGATGAACACACTGTGGGTGGCAAGGCCGCATCCAGCAAGAATTCCAAGAGATAACACTCCTGCAAGGCAACCAAAAGAGGCAAGGACACCGAAAACAATTGCCAATGGGAAACGAGCTCATTCAGCTCTTCATCTATATCACGCCAGCCGCTTCCAAAAGAAGAAGACTCTAATTTTCTGCTCTCTCCACACACAAAGCACAGTAACCTCAGGAGTGTCACATTTGACGATATCATTGTCCGCAACGACAGCGATTCGTTGGCATACACCAAAAGCGACTCTACACACTTGCCCATAAGCAAGACCAGATTTTGGGGTGGTTTGTGGGTTGGGGCACGAAAAGACGATGACGGAGCAAAAAGAGGGCGTCGCACCGTCGACAGGACAGAGCTGTTGCCGCGCCCGCCCAATTCGCGTGCGGATGCTGCCATCAAACGGGAAGATCCAACAGAAGTCATAAGTGTTGCACTCGTAAAGTACCTCTTGTCCCGCCAAGTCAGGGCGTATGCGTCGCTCAGGAGGTTCAGAGCATCCGACGCCGCCTTCCTATTCCGCAGAAGGGCCTTCTCATCGAAATTTCGCACCAACGCGAGAAAATCGCGTGAAGTTAGCTCCTTCCCCGTGCCTATGGCCGTAACCTTCGAGGACGTGGACCCTTGACCTGGTGGAGTCAATGCAACGTTCCCGTTCCCTGTGCCCCTTTTCGGCGTGCTACTTTTGCTGGATTTCTCACCCCCCGCATTCCATGAGGAATCGTCCTGTTCGCAATCGGCATCCCGATCACGCGGTGACGTGCTCGGCGAGTGAGTTGGCGATCCACCCGGTGATGGATACGCAATGATAATCACATCTTCCTCCGTAAACTCTGGCTGGGCAGCCAACAGCTTGGCATGCAGCCGCCGCAGCGCAGAAAAGAGATAGCAGTCGTCGCCATTTTTCTCCTCCGTTTCAGCGATGTTCCTTTTGCCAAATTTGTCCCATAATTCAAACATTTTTGTTTTTCCCTTTTTCTTTTTTAGTATTTTCTTTTCTTTATTTCTCCTTCGGGAGTGGGAAGGATGTTTCTCTCTTCCTCTCTTCCTCTCCCTCCCGGGAACGCGGGTCCCCTGTTCTGCCCCCCCACACCCACTCGACGAGAAGGTTCTCTTCCGAAAAAAAAAAAAATGGAGAAAAGGGGGAAAGAGGCAACGACTCCCTCACAACACACGCACGGGCCCGTCAGCGCAACCCCGCAATCTTCTCTTTTACCCACGGACGCAGAGAAGGGGAAGTGAAAGGAGGGTTTTCAGCTGCGCCGGGGAAAAAAAAAGAAAGCCGCCTCTCCGCGCATCACAGTCAAAAGAATACACACACACACACACACACACACATGGTCTGACTGCTCAGGAAAAAAGGAATAATTGTTCCAATAACCGTCACATTTCCGTTCGCCCCCTTCAGCGGCTTCCTTCAATAAATGCGGCCAATTTCCATCCCCTAAGAGTTTTTTTTGTTTTGTTTTTTCTTTTTTGGTGTCGTATAGTAACCCAGCAGAGAATCCAGCAGAGGCGGAAATGAAGTTTGGGAGAAAAATTAGTTTTAAAAAGGAAGGAAGCGTAAAAAAAAAAAAAAAAAAAAATCTTTTAAAAAACTCTTTCACTGCTCTCGCTGTCGTCAACTCAATTTGTGTTCGTTATGTTGGTTTATGCCTAATTGTCGTGCGTTTGCTTTCCCTTCGGCAACCGCCACCCTTAACTCCATGCGGGTGGGGAAAAGCTCCCTTTGCATTAATTCCACAGCTCTCACCCCCCACACACACACACGCACCACACAGAAAAAGAAATATGTAAGTATATATATATATATATATAGCAAAGCTTCAGTTTGTTCAAAACGATACTTGAAGTGCAGTGGGAGCAGGCTCCAGCATCCGACGCCTGCGTGCTTCTTCCTCTACGCGCTCCCGCAGCTGACGCAGCATGGCCGCGCGAACGACTTTATCGAGCGCATACATGTAATCTGGATTCTGTTCGGTTGGTGTGACCTCCTCGTCACCGTCAGTGTTACAGCTATCCTTGGAGATAGCGCCACAGAGGATTGTGTGGTCCAGCCCAAGATACTCACAAAACTGCATGCATCCCATGGAATTCAAGGAAAAGCAAAGCAGCTCGCCAGCTTCCTTCAGCAGCGTGTCGCTAAAGCAGTGAGAGCGTCGTGGTTCAACACACTCAGCGGCAGCAAAAGCAACGACATCTTCAGTGCTGATCATCTGCTTGCAAATCTGGCACTTTAATTTGGTCCCCGTCAACAATTCACTTGACATTAGCCAACCGTTGCAATTTGGCTCCGGGCATTCAATTTGCACCGTCCGCTGCAATCCACAGTACTCCTCCAGCAAACTCGAAATGGTCCGCTCGATATCTTCAAGCACCGACTCCGCAGCGTGCGGCTTTGTCTCTGTTGAAAAAACGCGTATCACTTGAAGCCCCTCACGATACAAAAAGACGCGGCAACAGTCCCCTGAGAGCCACATGGCATCGTTCCATCGGTTGTGTTCTTCATCTGCCTCGAGAAGTCGGTATTCATCAAATGCGTCACCATCATCATCATCATCATCATCACCCTTGTTACCTGCCAACAAAGCTCCACAAGGTTCCTGCAGAACGACAACTTGCTGGTATGAATGAAGTCGAAACTGGAACCGCCACCATGCTTCATCCGGAAGAAGATTGAACACAAACCTCAGTTTTGGTCCACGCTTAAATAAAACCGGTGCAAGCCGCCTCAGGCTGTCGGGGACAAAATATGGAGAAAGGCTAGGCACAAAGTAGCGTGTAATTTTCGGCTCGCGAACTATCGGCTGTCCCGCCTCAATGTCAATCGGTGTCTCCTCCTCCAGCAGCGCCAACTCATCACATGGTATGAGAACGGGATAAAGAAGACTCAAGGAGATGAGAAAGCGTACGGCCACAGTGTAATCCAAATCATCAGGCTCGTGGCCCAAAATATCAAAAAGTGGAGCACGGAATAATACACGGACCAAAGGCCACCGAAGAAACCCTTTGCTCATAAGGTGCATGTCTGCAGCCTCGGCAACACTTACGGTGTATTCGAGACGCCCAATTACGCTGCGAAGATGGAGTGGTGTGCGAATTACCTGGGCGTATGAAAACAAAGCCGCCGCAAGGCGACTCAACCACAAAGGGCGTAGCATGATAGGACTGTTATCCGACAAACAGTACGGGTTAGAGAGGTAAATAATATTCCAGCTGTGCATAAGACGAGCAATTTGAAGCAGTTCCTCATCTGAAGCCACGCCAAACTGCACCGCTGAATAAATAAAGTGCCTCAAAGGCATAAAAAACTTCTCTGGGAATCGCTTTTTCTCGTTCATTAACATCTCCAGAAGTTTCAAGTGACGCCCAGGAATAGCAGCGGCAGGGAAGTCCGTGTCTTCCATGCAGTCCCGGTGTGCCACCTCAGCAAAGAACTGCAGAAGAGCACTTAACTTCCGAACAGAAAAACGCCGTAATCCACCAGTCGCAATGAATTCACGCGTCTTACATGAAACAGCAAAGTTGCCCACAATCTCATTGGTGACGATCTTGCCAGTAGTGGGGTCTGTGGCAGCTATGCGCTGCATGAAGCTTGTGACTTTCTTCTCCACCCTTAACAGGATTCTCTCCACACTGCGCTGTCCCTGTACCCGAAGCTCATCCAAATGAGTGGCCACAAGCGCCATCTTAGCTCGAGGAAACTTGGCATATACCTCTGCAATCCACTTGTAAAGTCGCTCCTCCTCCTTCACAGAGATGCCAGAACTCTGAAAGTCCTGCTCAACAGAAGATATCTTCCATACAAGAAGAAAAATTGATCGATCGGTAAGGAATCGTGTGTGTGAGTGGTGGACCTCCTGTCCGGCAAAATCCGACAGGATCAACTGAATACAATCTTCACCAACACAAATATTTTGGCTGCAAACCTCCACACCCGTTGTCGTTTTCACGTCCGGAAGCTTCTTTAAAAAATATGGCTCCGACTCAAAGCACTTCCGCAGAGATGTCTTGCCAACCTCCTGATGACCCAGCAGAACAAGTTTCCTTTGAAATATCTGCTTGTTGGGGAAACGCCCCCTCGAACCAGTCCGTTGGACCTCCTGCAACAATAGGTTTCGCATTTGGGGATCCACATGTTTTTCTTTGGAGCCAAAAGAACAGGTATCATTAACACCATGGCCCTGTTGAGTGGCGGCCACAGACCCCATGACGAGATACCGAGACAAAAGATCACCCCTCCTTTTGACGCCCAACCACTGCAGCATCTCTTGCTCATCTTGAGGCTTTAATGCAGCTGTAGTGTTTTCGTCGCTCCCCATAATGGCGGTATCTTCCGCTGATTGAGCGCAAAGGGAGGATTCAGGACATGTGCTGCAATGCCGCATTCCACCTGCAGTTGGACCTTCACGCCTTATAGTGGCATTTACCGAAGACGGATCAACACTTTTTCCCACCGATGCGAGTCCAAATAGAATTTTATTGGGCACACAAGACGGGTTCGCAGCTTTTTCTTCCGCATCCGATATCAATGGCCCACGCCTTTCCTCACTGTTGTGCCCCTCTTGCTCTGCCGTTCTCCCTACAGCAATCTTTTCAGAAAGAGGCAAATCCCCACCATCAACCAGAGGCACAGACTGAGAAATACACAAAGACTCACCCTCATTGGGTGTCAACGTGGGGAACACAGCGCAGTTCTCATTCTTAGTTATTAGAGCATCTACTTGAGAATCGTGGAAAACAAGCTCAGCCCCGCCTTCGGTAAATGAATGCAACGCGGCATCTCCCTCAAAAGACATAAGAGTTGACTGTTAGCAAAAAAAAAAAAAAATAATTCCCTTAAAAGAATGCAAAAAGGCCCCTTCCAAAAGCCCTACAAATATTGTAGATATATATAGCTCCGCGCAAAGAACTTTATTGTAAAACGATAGTCTATGCCCTACCTTGCCGCAAAATAAAAATAAAATAAAATGCAACGCAATTTAGCAGCTACGCACTTATTCTCGGATAAATGCACATTCGACGCTCAACGGGCAGTCCAAAATGGCTCCCCACCACCCGTCGGCACAAAGTACTGACAAAAAAAAGGTGCTGAAGATGCCTTCCACGTGCTTCGCAAGTGCCACCCCTTCGATAATTTTAAAGAGTTTTGCGGCCTGGCCTCCCGAACATCCATCCACTGGGGCATCCTCTTAAGCCGCTTGTCACCGTGCGGCTTGCATACCGCAATCGCGCCGCACACCATCAATGGCGGCAGCATTGCCCGCTAATGGTGAGAACGCCGCCCACGTGGTGGCTCAATGGCGGGTTATTCGCTGGGCAAAGACAAAGTGAGGAACCTGCCGTTGGACCACTCCGCCCGAGAATGTGGTCGTGGGCGTGTCTGTCTCGTGGACACCGTCCAATCCACAAATCCACCCATAAATCTCTCCCCTAATAAATATGCTTTGCGCTAGGCTTCACAAGAATAGATAGGGGAGAATATTCGCCTGGACCGCTGCCCAAATCCTAAAATTATCTAAAGAAATCAAGCAAGACGGGGAAAAGGGGTAAATGGAGAGGCAGCGGCTTCGCCACATCCTCAATGTTTGCTCCAATTAAATACATGCGTTTTCGGAAAGCCACTCTCGTGACATGGTGCAGTCTATTCAGATGGATGATGTTTATTCCTTACGAAGTGGAAAATTTTGTGCTCTTCCAACCACAAGTCCCCGCCGAGAGGTAGGAATCAAAAGAGCGTGGATGGGAAGGAAGACGAAAAGAAAAAAGGCATTCGTCTTGCCTTTATCGGTTCCTCGACTCCTTCCATCGCGGTGTTGCAGAGCTTTCAAAAGACGGGCAAGTATCGTAAATAAATATATTCACTGTACCAGAATATATTACTTTAGGTAGCCAACCTTCCTCGCGATCATTCTCTCCACAAGCTCCTAGAAGAAGACATCATTATTGGGTGTTCCTCTAGACACACCTCCGCCTACAGCATTCCCCTCGCAACCTTTCAAACAAAAAAATTTGCACGCAAATATATATTGCCCGTTGTTCCCAGCTCACGGAGTTTTTGACTGCCCTGTAATTTTTTTTTGGTTGGGGAGAACAGGAGGGATGCAAGGGGGAGTCACATTGCGGGAGCGTGCAAAGGAATTTGCATCCCCACCGCCCGGAATCACCCAGGGACTCTTCTACGGACACAAAATGCAGGTGTGGGGTGGTGCTAGAGGATAACTCAGTGACTCTGCGCCGTGAATTCAGAGAAGCAAGCAGGGAATTACTGAAAAAAAGGTAATACGGCCACCAGAGAAGAGCTGCAGTCGATCCTTCACGATTTCATTGTCGTCTTCGCTTTCACATTTCTCATCCCGGTGGGTTGAGTGTCAGGACGGCGACCTAAAAAAAAACTCCCACTGATATGGCACCCCCTCTTGTTTTTCCCCGTTTTTTCCCCTCTTCACTCGGCACAACAATCCTCTTTCCCAGTCATTGACAACAGTACATCCCTTCCCCCGGCCACAACCCTAAATGCAGTTGGTCATCACTCCAGCATCCGTCGCCTCTTCCCCCGCTTCTTCACCGTCAAATTACTCAGACCCTGTTCGCGTGCGTGTCGCCCATTCACTTCTCTGAGAGTGCACAATTCACATGGCTTCCATGCAGCGTACCATACAGGAGAAGCATAAAACCAAGGAAAGAAGAAGAGGGGCCGACGCGTATCAACAAAAAAGCGAAAAGATACCAGCGGTCAGAGAGCCATCCCCATTCAATCCAGCAAGAAGGGAAAAGCAAGAAGCATACGGAAATACCCGTACATGGCTGCGTTGTTTATGAACACGCTCCTTAATCGCACACCCAACCCACCTACAAAAAGTATTCCGGCAGGGAGGGCTTCGATGGCTCGCGTGCATCGTCCGGGGCTGCTTCAAAAAGTTTAAAGTTCTTGTTGAGATGCTCGTCCAGCTCCAATATTGATGCCACATTCATGCAGCGGTAGCAATAATTCGGAGCAGACCATACCGTCACAAGCGTGTCGTTGAACATTACTTTGTAACCCTCCATGACAAGCTGGTGCGAGCGGCACAAGAGCTCCAGCCTGTTTGTTTCGAGGAAGGTGCGCACCACTTCTTCACCGTAAAGGTAACCGGCGCCACGCGGGGACAGGCCCCACGCCTCAATATCTTCCGGGTCGGACCACAACAAATCGCACATGGCACCCTCGTGGGGTACCTCGCAGCGGCGCTCAATAGCATCCATCTGGCTCATTGTGGAGATCATGGGCGAGAGACCCGCGTGGACGCACAATATCTTTTCTTCCACAACACACACAAGGGGCAAAAGATCAAACACCTCCGTGCAGTAGCGCCACACATTAACGCTGCCGTACTTTCGGAGACACTCATCATAGAAGCCGTATACCTGCGTAATCTGGCGCGACTCGTGGTTACCGCGAAGAAGCACTACGCGAGTGGGATACTTGACCTTGAGGGCGACCAGAAGAAGGAATGTCTCCACGCCGTGGTGTCCACGGTCAACGTAGTCGCCCATGAACACGTAGTTCACATCAGGGACCTCTCCGCCTACACGAAACATCTCGATAAGGTCAAAAAACTGAGCATGGATATCACCAACAATGGTGCATGGCGCGCGTATCACGTGAGTATTGGCCTCTGCATCAAGAATGTTGTGAGCAGTCTGGCATAGCTTCATCACCTCCGACTCCCTGGGGTAGGCGCCTTTACTGACGGTCTCTAGAAACTGGTCAATTGAATCCATATGCAGCTTTCCTAACAAAACCGGAACAAACCCAAAAACTTGCTACAGCACAAAAAAACCTGGGATGATTTCATCAACAGTGCCAACGGCAGAGGTCACAAAAAGAAAAAGTGAGGAACCCAGTACAGCTCCAGTGGATGTCGCACAGAACCCACCAAAGCCAAAAAAAAAAAAGGTGTTCCTTTCAATTATGTACAAAGGGTGAGATGTTCGAGCAAATAATGAGCAAAAATAAATTAACGGTAGGCAATTCACACAGTTTCATGCATGTAAATTTTTATTAATACTTGTTTATCTCTCTTTGTGTGTAAATGTCTTTGAACTGGGAAAAGCGGAATTGGTGAATTTATCTTCTGCGATCATAGTTCCCCAACGCATCCGCAAGTATTGCATCCTCAAGAACACTGCCACCGTCAACGATGCCATTCTCGACGTAACTTCGGTAGTCAAAATTAGCAAACTTGCAGAGACGCTCTTCCAGGTCGCAGCTGTACGAATGTTTAGCCAAATCCGATACAAATTTTAGTCGACTGCTCGTTGCTTGGCAATTAGTATTCATAGAGATGGTGCCGGGCGCTGGTGTCTCGCCGTTATGACGCAGGCGAAAATCCTGCATCATGCTGCGCTTGACCGAAGTCGACGCGGTACATCTTACGCCGCCTTTGCTTTCCTGGGCTCCGCAGCTGTTTTCCTGGCGGTGTTCCTCTTCTTCACGGAGTTTATTCTCCAAGCGCTGCATCAGTTCGGCAGTGGTGGAATGCCGTGGCACGCTGACAGTGGAAACTCTTTGGGCAACACCTTCCTTCACAAGGGCACGCATTCGTTCGTATTCTTGTTTAAAAGCAGGGTTTTTTGCATCGTATTCGGCGCGGCGTCGCATTTCTTCCTCGCGCTGTTTCTCAAATTCACTCCTCTCCTTCTTCTTCCCCTCCTCCTCCAGGCGTTTCCGCTCCACAAACTGTCGAAGCTCCTCCGCGGTAAGTTCAACATTAGGATCCATCATCGGGTCATAAGCCCGCGCCTGACCCTCAATGTGAGTCCGCAGCCTCTCCGAGTCATACAAACGGCGCCGCGCCGGGTCAGACAAGATGCTGTTGGCGAAACTTATCTCCTTGAAAACCTCTACACCGTCCGGATTCTTGTCCGGGTGGTACACTACAGCCAGCTTGTAATATGCACGCCGAATCTCGACGTCTGATGCGGTCCTAGGCACCCCAAGCACATCATAGAGCGCCCTGTTTCCCCTCAGCTCAAAGACATCCGAGCCCATGACCCTGCTCCTTTTGCCTCTTCCTTTTTTTCGATTTTTTTTGTCACTATATTCCCCAACGGATGTCTCGCTGTGAATTTTTTATATACAACCAAATTGTTGGAGTTGCTCCGTGTTTTGAAGTGTATAGGTGTCCGTTCTTTTTGTTTTCCCCCTTTTTTGTGCTTTTTTGCCTTCTTGGGATATTCCTTTGCGGCAGTGTGAGCTCGGCACGCGACGCGCTTCAACAGTGAGTCGGCAAGAGAAAGAAATGATGGAAAGTGCTTGTGTACGCAGGCGCAATGCAACATTTTTTATTTATATTTTTTTGGCTACTTTTTTTCTCCTGCACCTTCTTTCAGAAAGTTGCAGCTGGTATTATCCGCCCTCCCTCCTTTAATGCAGGCAGGGCTGGAAGAATTTAAAAAAAAAAAAAAAATGGGGGCGGCACGCCGAAAAAAGTCCACAAACAATAAGATGAAGGCAATGAAAGTACCATCACTACGTCGCCCAGTATCCGGTCTTCTTTGTTGCCCGCCCACGATTCTTCGTGGTGTGCGCAGAGAAGCTTTTACCGCCAAATCCCGTGCGCTTAAGCCCCTTCATCAGCGTGCCGCCTCCACCCATGAAAGAATAGCCGCGCGCAAAACCCACAACCGCAACACGCGACGGCTGCCCTGCGCCCGCCAGCCAAGGACACATATAACCCTCCGCTTGCATATAGAGTGAACGCTGCTTGCGGACTCGCAAGACGTACTTTTCTAGGATGCGATCCAACTGCTTCCGTCGAGCACTTTTCCTCAAGGACCGCTGGAGCGATAATGTTTCGCCTTCCGAGAGGCTTGCGTGCTCTCCCTCTTCGAGAAATGTATGTTGTCCACCTAGCTCAGCTGACAAAAGACGCTCGTAATCACCTGAAGTTGAATGCTGTGCAAAGTGCTCGAATGAGCCTTCCTGATGCAGGGGAAGCTGTGCCACTGACGTCGTAATCATACTTTTTTCTATGGGCACACCGTTGATAGCCCGCACAGTGTGCGTTTCCTTGTCCAAACTTGTGGGAAGCTGTGGTAACAGCGGCGCAGAGAATGGGAGCGGAGGCTTCTTGTTGGAGGAAATAGATGGCGGTGACTCATGAGCAACCCGTGATGAAACGGATTTGGCATACGCCTCGGGTGTTGACGCGTCCCTCTTTGTCCAAAAGACGTCTTCCTCAGGTTGATGCTGTTGCGTGGAGCGGAGTGATGCCCGGACGCAGAATCTTCTAGGCGCCTCCGCCTGCTCAAAGAAAGAAGAAGAAGTGCTCTCTTTTGCTGTAGTCGAGTTCAATACGTTTTGCGGCCCTGAACCTTCTTCGACAGCCAAACACGATGTTGGTAAAGCTACGGTGTTATGGTTTTTATTTTTTTCGTTGCTGCTTCCGTCGTCCTTGTATCTCTTGTCAGAACTCTCCACGAGATGATTTGCAACCTTTTCTTTGGCCGACAACAGCGCCGCCTTCGGTGATGTCGCCAACCACTTGGCTTTAGCTTCCTCATGCATCAAGACAAAACGCTCCAACGATAAGTTGTCCTCTTGGGGCAAAATGAAGGATTCTACTGGGTAGCGTTGCTCCACCGCGGTCAACTCCTCCAGAGAGGGAGGCGCGTAACTCAACTCCCTGATTCCTTTGTATGTCAAGTCCTCTGCACGCACCAGCTCCTGTGTGCAGTAGTACGTGATGTCGTGTTGCAAGGCTCGGATGTTCAAGCACCTCTCTGGATACTTGGGGTTGGCCCTTATGCCCAGGACAGGAACCTGATTGCTACCCAAAAAGTCCCAGACATCATTCACCTGTTTCTGAAGAGCCACCTTATCGCCCTTGAATCGATCAATTTTATTTAATATAACCGAAAAATTTATCTGTTGTTCCCGCAAAAAGGCAAAGATTTCCTCGTCTCGGGGTTGAATGGGCTTCCTGGCCTCCATCACCCAATACACCCGCTTAAGTGGGCCTTGTTTGCGAAGCGCTAAGTAACGAAATAGAATGGCAAATGCACTTGCACGTTCAGCTAAGTTTTGCGAGAGTTGGCGTCCCATCCAACCGCCATAACCGGGGGTGTCTACAAGTAACATGGCATCCCCCACATTAAAGAACTGAAGAATTCGCGTGGTTCCCCGTGTGCTTCCAGAGCGTCCCAATCGGCGGTTGTGCAACAGGCACGATATGATCGATGATTTGCCAACGTTGGGTTTGCCGATGAAGCACACCTCCGGAAATGAATGCAGTCCCTCCGGCAAGGCGGAAAGTGTATTCACGTTCTTGAGGTGCACATTGCCCTTGGAAAAAACCTCGTCGCTCAGTCTTGCCACCAACGCTTCCCGCTGCGACATCACAGGGGCGTTGACAGGAGAATTTAAAAGCCTTTGGGCCAAAACCCTAGCGACTGGTCGAGACGACAGATGCCCGAACGTCTTTTCCAAAAGCGGCCGGTAAAAAAGACGCATGTGGTGGTCCCGAGTCTTTTGCCTGTTGCAACGCTAAATCCTACGCGGAGGAAATCCCTACCCCCACACTACAAAAATAATTGAAGAAAAAAAGGTTCCATTCCCACCTCACAGCACTGCAAAAAAAAAAAAAAAACAGCAATGATAAAAAAAGAAACATTCATTTACCACCGCAAGTAAACCGCCTCTACACAATGGGAAAGGTTTGCTCAACAACACATCGTTGGTATCAAGTGAAAGGAGAAAAAAAAGAGAAGAACGCCACCACAAGAAAAAAACAATAGATACATCTCAACGCAGAAGAAAAAAAAAAAAAAAAACAGACACTTTTCTTCGTTTTTTTCTTTGTTTTGTTTTGTTTTGTTTTGTTTTGTTTTGTTTTGTTTTGTTTTGTTTTGTTTTGTTTTGTTTTGTTTTGTTTTGTTTTGTTTTGTTTTTTGTTTTATCCACATATTTATTTATTTAAAGGTTTTTTTCCCTGTAGTTATCAAAGTTCTGCGTATATTTTTTGTTGAGCCATAGCATTTTTTTTTATTTGGTGTTTCTAGCTATCATGTTTTTTTTGTTTGTTTGCCTCGCCTGTACTTTCGTTGGTTTTCCCTTTTTTTTTTTTTTTTTTTTTTATTGCTGTTTTGTATTTCTCCTTCTTCCGTGTGTGTGTGCCAAGTAAATCCACTTTTGCCCCTCACATATTGCATGCCCCCCTACCCATTTTATTTTTTCCTTCCTTTCTTTTTGTTACACTTTTAATGAATGGTGGACAAAATGAATAGAAAAACCAGTTCCTACTCCTCCCCTTTGGTGTATATTTATCACCCGATATACATCTGTAAAAGACCAAACCAGAAGAAATATGAAATAAAACAATAAGGATCAAAGGGCTAATGTTTGACTGAAATACCTACATGCCTGGAAGCCATCCTCCCGCAATTTTGCCCTTTTAATGGCGGGGGTTCGCTTTCATTTCTATTGGGGGTACGTATCATTCACTTGGCCTGAGCGGAATTGAGTTGAGACCCCTCGTCCGCATTTTGGTTGGAGGCAACGACATCCCCTGCCTCTTTTTCAGGGCCATCCTTATTTTCCTCATCCTTCTTCATTGACTCCGTCTCTTCATCTGAAGCGACATTTGCCGCCGCTGCCTCCAGCTCCTGGGTTGCCGTAGCGAACCCCGGATCCACATGACGAGTCACCACAGGCTCCTCTGAAGTCTTCTTTATTTCTTTCTCCTCTTCCTTCTCATCCGCTCCATCATCTGGCACCTGCACGATGCGGCTCTTCGCTTCTCCAGGAGTACCGTCCACGCGTACCGGTGTGTACGTTACGCGAATCAACCTTCCCTGATCCTCCTTCTGAACCGTGTAATTGCGCACACCGGTCTCAACCACTTCGAAGTTCTCTGTCCCTGGTACCTCACGCTCCCACTCAATGATCGGTTCGCCGGGCTCGCCACCAAAGTACTCCACTTCCAGCTCCAGGGTATTACCAACCAAAGGCTCACCCACAACGTTCAAGAAGTTAGTTTGAGGAATACCAGCAGAAACGACACCATCCGACCTTGTTGTCACAGTTCTTCCCTGCACACCATCCGAGCGCACAGGTGTCACCGAAACCTCAATCGTGCAGTCGACTTCACGCTTGGTAAGAGCGAGTGTTGAGCTGTTAGGGCGGCCAGTTTTGGTTAGACGTTTGTATCGATCTCGGCGGAACACTGAATCACGTGTGGTCCAA